CCTTTCTATTTTTTCAAACTCTTGCTAAGTTGCCCAGGGTGGCTCTAAACTTGCTATCCTCCTGCTGCAATCTCCTGAGTAGCTGAGATTTTTTTTCTCTTTCTTTTTTTTTTTTTTGTCCTTTAGAGTATACTCATTGTACTTATAAAAATTTATTAGAAACAGAGTGCTGTGTTACTCAGGGAGCAGCCTCATACACTTTGAGTTTGCAGAGTCTCTTGGATGCATAATTATTTCCTGTATTTGACATAATCTCATTTTTTTATTATGGCTCTAGGAGCAACAGGGAATACCATTTACATATATATTACATATACATATATGTATACATAGGTTTGCATAAGCACACTCTTGATGTTTGAAAAATAACAAAATCTCTGGGTTAAGTGAAGGATGACTGTCTTACCAAAGCTAGTCTCAGAACACAGTGATCTTGCTTTAGGGATGTCTCAATGTATTTGGATGAACTGTTGTTATATCTAAACCCCCTTTATTACAAAATAAGCAAAGTCTTACATTCACTGCCCTTCAAAGAACCAGGATGAAGATGAAAGCTCTTTGTGCTTCTCATAAGCACGATGTGCTTGGCCACTTGGTTGACACTCTGTGTCTCTTAATCCTGTCTACAATCCTTTAATTACCGCCTGTCTTTCCCAGGTGATGAATCCTCTTTAAGAGGGTAGAAACAGAAAATCAGTGGCAGATGGGGTAAAACTCAAGCCTGATTAAGTGCACATAGTACATCTACCTCCTAGATTTTTATTACCCTGACCAACAAGGGTTTTAGGAAGTGTTCAATACTTCGTGCTGTCATTTTCGTTAATAAGTAGCTATCAGCAGTTTGAGCATTGTGTAGTACCAGTACTGCTCTGCATCATTTGATTATTTTCTCTATAGGTGCTATCAATTTTCTTCAGTAATAATTAGCGTCTGTCCTGCTGGGGAATAATATTTTCTTTGTTTCTTGGAATAACTACATTTTGGACCTCATATAATCAAAAAAATGAGAGATGTGGACTGTGAACGAATCACCATTTAATCATATCAATGGCAACTCCTGCCTCGATTAGTCACACAGCTTTACTCTATTGTGGTACGCACTGCATGCTGGATAGTAGGTCATCCATAAATGAATAAATGTATGAATGGAGAACGTCACGTGTAAAGGTAGGCAGCCTTCCATAAAACTGTGCGCTAGGGTGTCTCAAAATACTTTCTAAACTAAGCCCTTTATCTTGACTACTTCTGGACTAAAATAAAAATCTCACCCATACTTTTCAGAATGACTGAAATCAGTGCTTCCCTTTACATCCAATGACCTCTACAGGAATCTTTTTTCTCTACGCTTAAGAATGATCAATTGCCTGCTGCTGTTAGCCCCAAGGTTCCTGGGGCGAGGGGTAAGAGGCAGGATTACAAACCACATGTCACCCCTGCAGCATTTCTCTTCAACTTTAGCCGAAACCAAGACCCCACCCCTCCCTCGCCTCAAGCTCCCATCCCCTCCCTCTCAGCACCCGGGTGACAAAAGTGCCTTCCTCCGACCCACACAGCTCGAAGAGCAGTGTGAGGCGGAAGAACTCAGCTTCCGCGTCGGCGAGAGCCGTGGGCCGTGCAGTCGCCACGCCCTGACGTCAGGCCGACGTGCAGCGCCGTCGCCCGGGAGACCGGGAAAGCCGTTTAGTACCAGACTGACTCCAAGTCTAGCTGAGAGACAATGGTTTCCCTCAGTCCCTAGACTACCTGGTCTGCCCGGACGCAGTTCCGGAATGGAAGCGTGCAGGTTCCCGCGAGCCTCCTCCCTGCCCAGCGTCTCAGGCCTGCTCCGTCCTCCTGCCTTCTGGCCGGGGCTGGTCCCGAAGGAGCGGGGTTAGAGAGGGACAGATTTCAAAGCCCTTCCAGCTTTGTCTGGCCTTTCAGTTGGTTTCTATTTGGAATTTCCCGCCGCTTCAGGAAAGTCTTAGAACGTGAACTCCCGCTTTCCCTGTCCTTGACCTGCTCACTGCAGGTGATTTACGCCAGGGGAATCGTTTTTTACGAAAGCGCCTGAAAGCTGAACGCGAATGAATGACCCGACGTGACTCTGGTTCGAGGAAGGGAATCGGAAGTGAACAATCAAGGATGTTTCTGCATTCAAAAAAGAAAGAAATCTTTCTCGTGATCGTGTTAGAGAGCAGGTTCACAAACACCTACGTAACTGTAGCCACGTATCACTTCACCTCTTGCCAAAGGGGAGTCTTTCCGTCTGTGTTGTAAAAGACCATAAGGGACTTGTTTGATAAAACACTTAATGTAAGAGTAAGTTTAAAGTTACAATTTTTCCCTGTTGTCAAACGGAATTTTTCCCTGTGGTCAAACGGAAAGAGCCCTACCGTTCTTGGGAAACCAAATATTTGTGAAAGCTTCTATTCCTTTTCATAGGTATGCAAATCTTTGTAAAGACCCAGGAAAACTTGTTTTGAGAGCGAGGAAGCCGTTTCTTTAAAATGTAAATGTGGTGGTGCTGGTGGGGAGTAATCATCAAGGACGGTAGTGCTGCATCCTGCCGCTTTGCAACTGTGTAGCCTAGGTGCTTTAGTTGTAATCAACTGCAGGTATTCCTTAGTTGAAGACAATTAGCTAACACAGATGGTTAGTAACCCCAATGACCAGGTGAATTTAAGATGAACTATAAAATAATGTACTGCATAGCAAACTGTCATGTCTTATATGAGGACAAGTCAAACTCATTTTCTTGAGTCATGTATGTGATGGATACATACACGAGTCTTCCTGGTTGTGTAAAAGTGGGATTTGTGGGCCGGGGATTTAGCTCAGTGGTTTCGTCGCCTGCTGCGCAAACGCAAGGACCCGAGTTCCATCCCTTGTACAAAAAAAAAATAAAATAAAATAAATATAAAGTGGGATTTGTTTGTAATCTAGTGAGCAGATTGGTGTGATATGCATCGAAATTTAGTTCAATATTCAGTAGTATCTTTTCTTTCTGCATGTGGAGAGTTTTCTAACAATATTTTAATTTCTAATTTTTGCTCAATAATCTGAACCTGCCAATTCCTCCTGTTAGTATAGTGAGGCCATAAATTGGAATAGTCTCTCAGACATTAAAGGTACTAGATAAAAATTGTTCCACTGGTGCCTTATTTGGATAATCACTCTGATCCATGCTCTCAAACACTTTATAGGTAATACTTTTTAGGTGAGATTTAGTTGGTAATTTCAGAAAAAATTGGACTCCCAGTAGAATTAAAAATGTTACCTTTTATTTTATCAATGATGAATCCACTATAAAATGGCAGCAATGAAAATAATGAGCCTTCTGATCTCTTGCCACATGACTGACAATCGGCCACACATCAGATTATATAATTGGCCCTATGAGCTCATGTGGACATAGTTAATTTTACCGCAATGGTTGGCTCCAGTTAGCTTTACCAAACACACATTGTATTATGTTTTATGTGGGATAACAATTCATTAGTTAATTTATTTATTTATTTATTTATCTATTTATTTATGAGACAAAGTCTCTCTGTAATTCAGGCTGGCCTTGAACTATGTAGCCCAGCTGGCATCCAACTTGCAATGATCCTCCTGCCTCAGCCTTCCAGGTGTGCATGAATGTGCTCAGCCAGTTATTTGTTTTAAATAGTGACTCACTGAAATGAGTATTTATGCTAATACAGTGGATGAGGAAACCTCTCTTCCACCAACGGTTGCACACTTTACAAATATAATGCCACTATAGGGTTTTTGTTTTGTTTTTGTCATCTCTACTTTCCCTGCCACCTTTATTGTACCTGGGGCTTCTCTCTCTCATAGAGTACTATGCATCTCCACTCTCTCCTCTGTCCAAATGCACACAATCTCAGGAAGCCTTCAGTGATTCTGTACTGCCATCTGAATGATAGGACATTTTTGTTTTCTAAACTCTTGGACTGTTCTTGTCTGTAACTCTTGGGTCTCAGGCCTTCTGCCCTGACCTGGAACTATGTGCTTGTGTCACCTGACTCTGCCATACACCTTCCTCAGTACTACAATCTATATAAATATCCCTCCCTCTTGAAACCACACTGGCTATTCTTCATATTAGGGAAAGAATGAAAACAAAAACAAAAACTCTAAAGTGCTCCTTCATCCACCCTCTGGTTTTACAAATGTAGTGATAGAGCTTTATATGCAGTTATTTTTATTAGAAAATGAAAATCTGCTAAAAGTGAAATATCCATATAAAATTATATAAATGTCCATCTTAGATAAAATTGGCACTTGGCGGGGCGGGGATTTATCTCAGTGGCACCGTGCCTGCCTTGCAAGCACAAGATCCTGAGTTCAATCCCTGGTACCAGAAAAAAAAGAAAAATAATTGGCACTTGGCTTCTGATGCTTTGACAATTCTTGTTCAGTGTTTGCATATCATATTTAAGCTGGGAACTAATTTTTTTGTACTTCATTTAAACTAACATTGATGCAACAGTTGCTTTTCTTATCTGTTGAAATGAAATACTATATTTAGATTTTTTTCTGGCAGCTTTTCAGAAAAAAATTGATTTAAAAAATACTAGACTAAATAAGTCTATTTAAAATTTTGCAGTTACTCTGTATACAAAACAAATAGTAGTAAACTATAACAGAAATTACTATTGGACTATGAAGTTCTAACAAAATAGAAAATAATGCCAATTCAGCAATCTCCCTCTATAGCTTTTTTGTTCTGTGGCCTAATAATGGAGAAAATCTCAGTTGCACCATCTAACATTGAGATGATGAAACAAACACCTGTTAAAACAATTATCATCATGCATTCAGTACTCTTAGGAATTTATTTTTTTGTTTTTTGTTTTGTGGTACCGGAGATTGAACTCAGGACCTTGCGCTTGTGAGATAGGCAGCGGCACCACTGAGCTAGATCCCAGGCCCTACTCTTAGGAATTTATAAATTATCTTAATTTGAATTTTCTTCACACTTTTTCAGTGCTAACAATTGCCTTCAACGTTTGTAGATCATTTTGCTTCAAGGCTCTCTCAATATATTTTGGGAAATTACGGATCGTCACATTCCCATGCATGCTTTACCTGAAGAAATCCAAAAGGTATGATATTACATTATATTATTACAGTATAATATTAAGGACATTTTAGCAGTTAGGTAATTCTAAAACAGGGGAGTGAATTTAGAGGTTTTATATTTATTTTAGTCATAGAATATGCAATGAATTGGTGAGTAGGAGAGGTAATAATCACAATGGGCAGAATTGTGGAGTTCCAATTCGGTGCAAAGAATATTTTTTTCTGTGAAAGGAGACACAATTCTGACAGAGCATTTGATGTGGTAGTTATGGGGGACTAGTGAAAAAAAGAACCTAGAAATGCCCATATTTGTAATTTTTATGATGCTAAATTTCTCTCTCTACTGGCATAAGCACTTTCACTTAGGCCAGTTTTTAAGCCCTTATAAAAATCGACTCATTTAATCTGGCTAACAATCTTTACAGTTTCTATGCTCCTCTCTCCTCTTTTAATTTATATCTGTCCTCAGGCAAAAGCATTTCTTCCATATTTAGGTTGGTGATCTATATATGGTTATTAAAATAAAGTTAAAAATGTCTCTTTGAAAATATTTGACTTAAATTGTGAGATAAAACCCCCAACTTTAGTTATTACCCAGTTTTTGTACTACTGCTACCATTAATTCTTAATTAACTACTGATTTGTTCAATTTTAATTACAAAATTATAGTCACGTTTCAGATAGACTGTTGTGCTTGTTGCTTTGGGCTGCCTATTAGCAGTCATCATGCCATTTATTTAACTTGATCCTTATTCTTGGTGCCTGTCCTTCACATTTATGTAAACTGCAACTTAGCAGGAACTATAAAGGAAATGTAGTTATCAGAAAAGATCTTTGAAATCATTGCATTTAATTTTCTTTACTTTTGAAGTATAAACTAGTAAGAATACAGTTTTCAGCTGTGTGTATTTAAACTCACCTGAGAAATGGTATTTATGTGTGTTTGAAGACATGGGATGGCCTTCTCACCTGAACTGAGTTCCTTCCATGTACTGGCCGAACTGTGATGGAAATTAAAAGAAACAGAGCAAAACAAAACAAAAAAATCTACAAGAAACAATACATGCACTTCAGTTCCTAATCACTTGTCAGGAAAAAGATATAGAATGACAGTTTAAAACCAAAACACCTCTACAAGATAGTATGGTTTAAGTTCCATATAAGATAGTATCTGTTGTGAGAATGAAGAAGTCAGAGAGAGTATTCCTAGATGTTCAGATGATCAAAAAGGGCTTATGCCGAAGGTGGAACTGAAATTGGTCATTGAAGGCTGAGTATTTCCATAGAAGGAGGGCAAGACAGCCTAGTGCAAAGGAACAGAAGCTTCCTAGTGAGAAAAATCTGGCCAGTGTTTAACAACTTTAGTGTTTTGAATACATAAAGTGGGTATTTATTTATCTGATACAGTTTTCATGAGAATTACAGAATTTTTTCTGATATTTGAGATACTTTAGAAGTAAATTGTTTAGAAAATGCTAACACAGGCATTTCATAAATCTGCAGTTGGGTTCTACAGTGGAAATGGCAGGCAGTTGTCCAAGCAGAAGTGAAGATGGCGGGAGAGCCTCAACTGCTTAAATTCCTGGACAAGTGTGCTGCTTGTAGCCCTTTTGCTGCCCCGTGTTTAGACTATAAAGTATAGTTTTGTATTTTTTAAGGCCTAAGTTACTTACATTTCTACAAAAATAATGATTATTCCTATTATGTGCCACACATTGCTCTGGGTGCTTGAGTATAAAGCAATCACAATGTGCATATACATCTCAAAGCTTATAAAGCAGTCATAAATATTTGTTTTCTGTAACTTCTTACTTGTGTTTGATTTGTCTACATTGTCTATAGTTTAACTTATTTAATTGTTTAGAGATCAGGCAGTATATCTAGTCACCTTACATACATCGCTCTATACAGAATTGTGTTACAGGTGTTGCAGGTATGGATGTATAGGTTGAGGATACCTAATCTGAAATTCAAAATGCTCCAAAATCTGAAACTTTTAGCACCAACATGATACTGCAAGGGAAAATTTCACAATACCAAAACTTCATTTCAAGTATATCTTTATTAAAAATATTATATAAAATTATCTTCAGGCTATGTGTATAAGGCATTTGTGGAACACACATGAATTTTGTGTTTAGACTTAGGTCCTAGCCCCCAGGTATCTCACTATGTATTTGCAAGTATTCGAAAATCTGAAATCCTTTCAATCCTAAGCATTTCACAAAAGGGATAATCAGCGTGTGTAATTTGTAGTGATAACAAGAATAGTTCAGAGTAGAGCCAATTCACTTTTAAGATAAAGGAGAAAAAAAGATTTCTAAAATAATGGCTTGGAAAATGTTCTCCATTTCTTTATAGAGAAAAAAAGGACTTGAGGTGGGTGGATCAGTGGATAGAGATGGGTATTTCAAAGGCTTTTTTTTTTTTCAATCTTTCTTGTTCTTCTGTTAACTTTTTGTGTTATATTCTGGCTCCTCTTTCTAGAGAAGCCCTGCTGGGTTTCCTTTTTTTCTGTATAGACAAGGAAGGTCATTGTAGAAATCAGAGAGGAAAAGGTGAGGAGGCCCTTTCTTATTTCTTCCTTTCTGTACTTTTGCTATGTGATATGGAAATGGATGGTTGATACATTAGAATGTGAAAATGACTATAGTACACTGTACTGTTAAAAATAGAATGAGTAGTAATAGAGAAAGGAGAGTTGCAAGAAAATATGAAGGTGATGAGGGAGATGGCCACCAAAGAACAAGTATGGAGAAGAATAATGATGATAATAAAGAATAGTTGAGAGAGAAAAGTGGCCTCTTTTTCCTGTGACAGCTGCAGCAGGGGAGGCGAGGTTCAGCACGTAGCTGTCACACCCTTATGTCTGGCTTCCCTTCACTCTCCCTCAGTCCCTTGGTGATGGGCTGGACAACTTACCTCAGTATCCTGCAATTTCTAAAGTTTGCTCTCTGGGCTCTTCTGACAGGAGGTGCAGCTTAGGTGACAGCCGTGGTATCCTGTCCCCTGAGCAGATGCTCCTGCCACCCCTCTGAGGAATGGCCAGAAAACTGCCCCTAAGGTGGCAGAGATCCAGGAAAGATCTAGGCCTGTTATTAACATCTAACATTCCCAAACCTCAAGAAGCCATGATTAACATAGCTAGCCCTCCTAGAGATTTTTTTTTTTTTAGGCCCTTCCCCTGCAGAGAAGCTGCAGCTGTCAGTCAAGCAGCTGCTTCTGAAGTTCCCTGAACTGCTGCTATGATGACTGCAGCTACCCTGTGGGAAGTATCTATCCAGACCACAGGAGGCTTGAAGTTGGATCAAGCAGCAAGCTCCAATCAGAAGGCTTGAATTTAGAACAATTTAGACCAATCAGCAGGCTTAAATTTGGACCAATCACAGGCCTGCTGCTGCTATATAAGCAACACTGCCCTCCCATTTCTTGAGTTGGGCAAGGAGAGATCCTTGTGGTGCACTGAACTGACCTGGAACACAGGCCCTGTCTAAATAAAACCTCGTCCTGATGGTCCTGTAAATCTAGCCATGCTTTATTTGTCAGACAAATGGTATCAGTGTAGACACCATAGACCTTATAAATCTCCTTGAGATTCTTATGCAGTAGTGTGGACAGAGTGGTTGCTTTAAAAAGAGCTGTAAACACAAGAGGCTGATAGCCCTAGAGAGCTTCGAGACCAGCAGCTGACAAAAAACAGCAGCACTGTCAACAGTGGTGTCCAGCAGTGACCAGCAACCAGTGATGTTGACTGGTGGTGTCAGGCATTGACTGGTGGCAATGTCTGATAGCAACAGATGAGTGGCACCGACCAGTGGCAGCAATTGGCAGTCTAAGACCCAGAGCTGTAACATGAAGATGCTTGGAGCCCCAGAAGGCTGAGGGCATTGCCATGCAAAGCCTGTAGCCACTAGCAGAGCTGCACTTGGCCAATTTGTGATTTCTATATAAATTCAACAGGAGGACCCTCAACTGATTATTGATGTTGCTAGAGAATCCATTGTCTGGTTAGAAGGTGAAGATTGTTAAATCATCTGGTCTTATCTCCTGAGGGAGATAATCTTTGACTTTGTATCTTGGTCTTTTTGCTGTTTTTTTTTTGTTTTTTTTGTTTTTGTTTTTTCTGTACGAGGAATTGAACCCAGGACCTTCACATTGAGCTACACTTCCAATCCTTTATTTTATATTTTGAGATGGTCTAGCTAAGTTACCCAGAACAGACTTTAACTTGGCAATCCTCTTGTCTCAGCTTCCCAGAGCGCTAGGATTACAGGTGTGCATTGCAGTGCCCAGCTTTGTTTTGCTTTTTAATACGAATTTTTTTTCTTTTAAAGACAAGGTCTTGCTGTGTAGCTCAGGCTGGCCTCAGACTTGAAGCAATCCTCCTGCCTCAGCCTCCCTAGGGCTGGGATTATGAGCGAGGACCACCATGCCTGGCTTCACCACAACTTTTTTTTTCTTGGTACTGGGGATGGAACTTGGGACCTTGCACTTTCGAGGCAGGCAGCAGAACCACTAAGCTAAATCCCTGGCCCTTCACCACAGTTTTTGACTAAGCACAGAATACATCACTTCTCAGACTTTCATGTTCTTAAGTGACAGAAATGTAAGCAAGGGCCATGGGCTGGACAGAAAGCCCACTCTTTGTCACCTTCTGGGCTTTGCATTTTACTTGGGTATGTACTTAGACCATATTTCTAAAGCTGCTTTTGCTCTGTGCTAAACTGATTTCTACCTGTCTCTGATTACAGCTAACAGTGGTACTAGAATTTTCATCTAGTATTCTGAAACAATGCAGTACAGTTCTGTGTTTAGGATGTTTTTTGACACAGTTAAAAATGAAGACAACATTTATAGATCAGCAAAGTAATAATTCTTTACTTTTTATCCTCATGAATATCAATCCATTTTAGATACGTGTTGAGTCTCTAGGGAAAAAAAAGATGACCTTTTTTCTTTTTGCTGTTTTTGTTAGAGAACATATGGAGACATCAAAACAACAGCAACAAACTAGTAGAAAAAT